TATAAATAGGACCAAGGCTGTTAGCATGAATGAGTGAGCAAGAGGGGGATTTCTGTAGTGTGAGAAAATTCTGTAGCGTGACAAAGAAAGTAAGATTGAGAGAAAGTTCTCTGTAGGCAATCTTTATAACTTTCTGTGAGAATTTTCTGTGTGAAGTTTCTGATGTATTCCCGATTGAGTGGTGAGTGGTAGTGTTTTGTGTAATAAACATTGTGTAATTTCTTCTCTTTTATGGAAGATTGGGTAAATTCTCTGAAAGTGATTGATGAAAATTGTTCCAAAACATGATGTTCTTGTGTCCATAATCTTGATTCTTTCCTAGTTTTATGTGCTGTCATTACTGTGCTTTCTTTTCTAGTTTGCAAATAAGAATTGATCATTGTTCCTGAGAGATGAGATGAAGAAAAATCCTAACAATATCTTTGACAATAATTTACATATTCTAGTTTAAATCTTATATTTTATTTTGCTTGTACTTCTTTATTAATGGATATTATGTGGGATCGATGATTTAGTGAAAGAAACATAGTAAATCAATTAAAATCATAGATTTGATTCGAACTGGAAATGCTCTAAATAAAGTTGGTTAAGGTCAATGTCTTCTATGCCTTGTTGGATCTTGACAAGGAATTGTTTTGAGTTTTTTTTGGGTCGAAGTGCATATAAACTTTTTTGTTCGGAAAGCAAACTAAAGTGACGCCGCAAAAGAAAAGAATTCAAGCGAAAACCTTGAAACCACGAAATTCGGAATCCACTAAATTAAAGAGAAAATAAGCTTCACCAATTTTATAATTTAAAAATATTTTTTCTTTTTTAATCACACATTTAAAAAAAAAAAAAAAAAAACCCATTTTTTAAAAAGTTTTAAAAAAAAAAAAATTTAAAAAAAAAAAAAAAAAAAAAAAAAAAAAAAAAAAAAAAAAAAAAAAAAAAAAAAAAAAAAAAAAAAAAAAAAACCAAAATAATCAAATTGACAAAAATAGCGCCAAAACTCTAAAAATCAGTTTTCGAGTCCTAAACGAACTCGAATGGCCGAAATTCATTGTACATCAGGTGAGTATTGTTTCCCTCGTCATTTTCTTTCCAAAATGATCTTATGGGCCCCATCCGAAATTAAGATGTTATATTCCTACTAGCACTCTTTTTTCAATATACTTATTATGTCCTACATCACAAAATCTTTAGTCAATGAAAACATTGTTCTTTAAAATAAAATGTAATCTAATGATATCCATGTCTTAGAACTGATCTTTTTGTTCATCTTACTGAAGAAGCAATTTTTTATTTTTATTTTATTTATTTATTTATTTATTCCGTCTCTTTCAACATGCAGGCATGGGGAGAGTGTTTTGGGAGGATTACCATTGAAGCTATGGCTTTTCAGCTTCCTGTTTTTGTAAGCCTTTGACTGATATAATTGGATTATCTGTTTCTGGATTTATCAATTCCATATGCTCAGAACTACAGGCACTTTTAAGTTTTCTTGTAACATTCCGATTCCCAAAGGAGCTTACTTTTTGAATAAATATAATGGCTTTCTACACGTTGTTTCTGGATTTATCAATTATTATTATTGAATAAATTCTGTTTCTGGATTTATCAATTCCATATGCTCAGAACTACAGGCACTTTTAAGTTTTCTTGTAACATTCCGTTTCCCAAAGGAGCTTACTTTTGAATAAATATAATGGCTTTCTACACGTTGTTTCTGGATTTATCAATTATTATTATTGAATAAATTCTGTTTCTGGATTTATCAATTCCATATACTGGCTTGTCCAAAAAATTTAAATCTTCGAGTATGAAATATAAAAATCTTTGCGACACGTTTTTCTATTTGTTTATCAAATTCCGGCAGTACAAAGTCTAGGTCATGGTGGAAATGCCAAAGATGTTTGCTTGAATACAATTTCTTGGATTATATTCCGCACTATTAAGAATGCAAATGAAGTAAAATCTTATTCAGTGCCTGTCTGTCGCAACTTTTTTCCCCAAAAACATAAAATCAAATCAAATCAAACTTTTACGCTTTTTGGTATGTGAGATTTGTGGTCAAAAAGGACGGTTGCCAACGGTAATAAAAATCATTTTTTTGCCCAAAAAATGGACTCCAGACAAGGGCTTATTATATAATCTAATCTTGTAGTGTGTATAAGGATGTCAACGAATTGAGTCGAATCTCTTTGCAAGCCGAAAATCAAAGATTGGGCTCGGCTCGAGTGAAAAAGTTTTTGGCCTTTTTTAGCCCGAGGCTCAGCAAAATAAATCTACACTCGATCCAAGCTGAGCCGGCTATTATTATTATTATTATTATTATTATTATTATTATTATTATTATTATTATTATTATTTAATTTTTAAAAAGGCAGCAACATGGCTGTGATTATTTTATTTTATTTTTATAATTTTGCTCACAGTCCAAAAATGGCCCAAGCTCTGGCTTGGGCTCTGACCAAAGCTTTAAAATGGGCTAAACCCAAGCCTCGACTAAGGTAGAATTGAGCAGCGAGCTGGGCCGACTAGGGTTTTTTCTGAATTGAGCCACCGACCGTCCGAGTCGACGAGTTAAATTGACGCTCTAACTGTGTAGCAGTAAAACTCTTTGTCTCTTAGCTCCCATTACCAATCACATTTATTAGTTCCGGTCAACAATAAACTTTTTTGTGGTAAGCACAGGAAATGAGTAATTCTCAATTATTCTCCAAGCCTTTCAGTTCCAAATCTCTATGGGTGGAATTCACCGAAGGCTTCGTTGAGCAATGAGGTGATCAGAAAATTAAGCTCATAACTCGACACTTCTCAAAAGAGTTATGTGAATGTAGAATTTCCTTGATCTTGAAGGAGGAATTGCAAAAGGCCAAGAAAAATGCTAAAGGCTTAAAGTGACTTGATCTTACAGGAGTATGATGTTTTGCTTCAAAGAATAGATTGATTTGAGCTTGTAAAATCATGTATCTATAGGTCATCTATGGCTATATCTATCTGTCTACATCTAGCTCAATTATAATGTTATCTTTTGAGGATTGACAAGTAAATTGGGATCAAAGATATGTTGATTAAATTTGCGAACATAAATCATTTAATATTGAGCCTTTGAACCATGTTAATGGCTCATTTGGTATGACTTCTAAAAAATTAAAAGGAACTTTAGAGATTGAAAAAAAAAAAAAAAAAAAGTTGAGAGAGAGAAAGAAAGAAAAGAAAAAAAAAAGTTGCTTTCGAACCCATTTGAGTAATTTTATGAAAGTGGTTCTTTTAATAAGAGATTTTAGAGAAAGCTAGTTCAATATGGTTTCTTTTAAAAACACTTTCGAAATATGAAGCTCTTTAAAAAATTAATTTTCAAATAAGATTAAGGTGGTTTTTTTTTCCCAAAAAAAAAACTTTTCTACAGGAAGCATAAGTAAAATTAAAAGTAAAAGTCATGTTAAACAGGCTTTAAGAGTAATAACATAGTTGATATTGATGGTCATTTGACACCAAAATAGACTCTGACTTAAGAGAGAGTTGACTTAAGAGAGAGTTAAAGTCGAGCTGAAGGAGGTGTTGAATTCAAGTTGAATTGTCTTTTAATCTAGCATAAAATAGGAAGAGCCTCAAGCAAAAGTTGAAAAACCTCTTTTCTTTTTTAGCTTAGGAGTTGAGAGTAATTGGAGCTAGAGCTAGAGCTAGAACTATAAATTTGAACTAGAATTGCTTTTAGTCTTGCATTTTCTTTTCCCGCCAAAAAAACAAATAAATAAATAAAAATATCGAAAGCTACACAAGGCTGTTGTCAATTCAACATTAGTATGATACAATATTCATTCGTTATTTGGATGAATCGCGAATAGGTTGTGTTTAGTAGGAAATTTATAAAAATATAACAAAGAAAATACAAAAGGTGCAACATTGCCACCGCACCTTTTGATTGTATCATAAATATACTTCAAACGTACTTTAACAGTCAACAAAAAAAGAACACCATGAATTTATTTTCGACCAAGCTATACAACTGGGAAAATGACAGATTTTCATTGATAGACAATACTTGACAATTTAACATTCGAAGTTAGAAAAGAACTACACAAAAACATTCAATCAAATCATGTCAAATCATCCTATTTTCTGAACCTTGTTTTTTTCCCCTATCCATCCAATTTTATTTGACAATTGACAGAGCCGCCGTTGCTGCCCCTTTGGGCTCCATTCTAATTAATTATTTTTCTCTTCTTTTTTTTTCCCATTTTTAACAATATATTCTTCAATAAAAATAATATTATACGTAAACCAAAAATTGTTCTTTACATTTTTACCAAACATTCTTTAAAAAATTACTATTCCAAAATACATTTTCTTCAAAATACAATGGCTTAATTGGTTGCGGCCCAAATGATGAATATGGCATGTTTGGTAGGCATTTAAAGTCAAAAAACTGTTTTTGAATATATTTAAATAATTTTATAGAAATACTCCTTTATGACTAGAAGAGTTTTTAGAAAAAATTAAGGATGAGTTTGATTGAGAGCATGAAATTTGCATGGAAAGATAAATTCTAGGCAATTCAACTGTCTAGAACTTATTCATATGAAAATTATTAATTAATTGTGTTTAGTTGATTTAATTTTCAATTTAGAAAATATTGCACTTTTTATTTTTTATTAGTGGATTGATAAGTGAGAAGTGACAGATGAGAGAGAGAAGATAGAGTGGGTTCCTTGAAAAATAAATCATAATTCCTTTAAAGAAAATATTTTTCTTGATTTTGAAGAAAATATGGTTATGTGAACAAAAGTGGGAAAATATTTTCCATAGAAAAAATTTTCAATCAGACAACACAAAAGAAAGAATTCTGGTAGAAAAACACATTTTCCATGTAAAATATTAGCAGTCAAACGCATCGTAACTTTCTTAGAAAACTCTTATGCAATAAGCAAAAGCAAAAGCAAAAACAAGTAAAAATCTTACGAAATGGAGCCTTAATAAACTTGTAACATATTTGATATTCTTGACACATAAGATAGAAAGGACACTTGACAAATATTTTTATACACAATACTCGATCGAACTAAACAATACAATCCATCTACCATTATACAAACCACATGAAAAGATATTAACATCTTTACATATTCGAAAAGTAGAATAATATTAATACCGTGCAATACTTCACCGTCTACCCAAAAATATAATCAAAATAAAGCATATCAGCAGAGGCCACGATGGGTTGTTGGCAAAAGTAACTTTCAGGACAGCCCTGGGAATCCTCAAACATGGGATTGTTGGATTTGAAGAAACTAAGAATGTCATTTAGGGACTGCAGTCTTTGGCTGAGTTCCATAATCTGAGCCTTGATGACTAAATTTTCAGCCTCCATTTTTATATTATCCTGTGTGGTGAGGTTTAAGCTTGTTAAAATGTGGCTGTTTTTGTACCTCAGTAGAACAATTTGGGCCGTCAGGTCATCCAAATACTTCTGTTTTTTCATCCTTGATCGCCTTGCTGATTCCCGATTTGATTCCATTCTTTTCCTCTTCCTTTGATCAATCAAATCCTGCAAGTTTTCTTCAGAACCAGAGTTCTGAATCTGTATCGATCCAGAGGAATTTCCACTAGGAGAAGCCATTTTTTGTTTACACGAAATCGTGGAGATTACAAACAACAATAAAATCAGAAAACAAGCAAAAAAAATGTATTATAACAGTATGTGAGAGTTACGTCCACTTTGTTACTACAAATACGTTTTCAAGTTTAAATGGTATACCACTTCTCATACACACTAAACCGACCCCTGAAATATTAGGTCGATATGTGGTCAAGATAAGTCCACACTATGATTAAACTCGAGAGTCGAGACAGTACGATAAATAACTTAAATTTCTGAAGAACAAAAACTTAAAAATTGCAGGACCTCTTATGCTAAATATTACAAGTGTTTAAAAAAAAGGTTACTTATGAAAACACATAGAACCAGTAGAGGAAGATAACAGAGAAAGATTGAACAAGAAGAGTCCTGCGTGTGAGAGAGAAATTTATCATAAACCTTAAACGAATGATTCCACTGAGTACATGAGACATAACATCAAGAACAAAATATGCAGGGTCAGATTTTTAGAGCATATTGAAATCTTTTTTTATAGGGAAACAGGCGATGATTTAACAAATGGGTTTTTGAATCATCAAATGCCCAGTTCCAAATTAGCAGAATATACTTAAGAAATAAGAATTCTGAAGGAAAAGAAAAGAGAGGAGAACTCAGAATGTATTGGGATGAAAGGGAAGAGTAGAGGAGGAGGTTTATGAGGTTGATGGGAGGCTGATTTATAGAAGGAAAAGGTAGGCAAGAAAATCAAGAAAATGGAAGAATTTATTCTTATGTTCCAACGTTTATAGAGTGAAGCTAGTCGTCAATCTTTCATTATATTAAAATTTTGATAAATGAAAGTTGAATAAATTAATTAAAATATTCTATTAATAAAAATTTTCGATATCACGTAAAAAAATGTACTAAATTTATAATCTCGCTAAACGCATAAAATAATAATTTTATTTAAAACCCTTTGGGGCCCAACGAAAATATAAAATAATGTAATGCAAATTAATAAAATTTTTACTTGACAACTTCTATTTATTCAATTTATTTTTTTTTCTGAAAAATATTGATCTTAAATTGCTTGCCTTTTCTTTCTACTCCAACCGAAGTCAACATTAGTCCTCATTTTTTGCAATATATGTACTACATTTGAAATAATTTTTCATTTTTTGAAAGTAATTATTTACTGTTGCAGTTGTTCGAAGACTTTTTTTTTTTTTTCGAGGGAGAAATAGTTGATAAATTACAGCTATCATCTAAATATGATCATCCTCATTAAATATATTCAGTTCACCTTTAATAATCGTTTTGTCAATTGCATTTATACATCAATTTTACTAAGGATCCATTTGATTGCAAGAATGAAATTTGGGTAAAAAGAAAACGAATTTCAAGTAATTGAATTACCTAGAACTTGTTTTATTGTGAATTGTTAATTAAATGTGTATGACTAATATAATTTTTCACCTAGAAAATGTTAAAATTTTTTATCTTTTGGTGTTCATTTGACTTTATTTTTCAAGAAAATTGTCAATTAAAATAATAGAATTTGTTACAATTGTCAATAGATTTTGTTCCAATTGCCAAAAAATTTAAAAAAGCAAAGAAAAGCTAGAAAACAAATTTTCACCAAAATCAAAGGAATTAATTTTCCACCAAATCAAAGAAAAATGGGTCACGTGGTGGGAGGGGGGGGGGGGGAATCAATTTCAGGGAAAATTCTTGCAATCAAACAAAGTAAAATGTGGAAATTTTCCATTTTCCATGGAGAATGGCTTGTATCAAACAAGCCCTAAGATCATTTAAGAGTTGTTCAACATCTGTCACATTATTGAAACACATATTAGATATAACTTCACGTGATCTATATATATATATAACTTCTTCAAAGTAAACTTTTTAATTTATAGAGGTTTTACTGCGTACAATCAATCCCCACAGTTCAAAGACTCTAGAATTCGGGACACGTCCTTGTTGAAACATGACTGATTTAAAAAATTTTAACGTTAGTAAAGATAGACATGTAACATCGACAGGAGAATTTAACAAATTTTGGAACTTCTTCACCGCAAGAAATTTCCTGTGCAACTGCAGCAAAATGTCCATGATATCAACTTATTATTCCAACATAATAGGTGACATTCAAATTGTGGTCTGAAAAGCAAAGGATATTGCCAGTTAAATTTGCTGGAAAACTAATCCAAGAAGTCTGACAAATGTCTTACCTTGTTTTCACCAAACTTAAAATTATTTTCATATGGTTCCTAATCTTTCCAAAATAGTTGGGATATACCCCAATCTTTTTTATTGGCACCATTCGACCTCAACCTTTCATGTAAGTAGCACAGTTCGTCCCTTACACAATTTCAATCCATTTGACAGATCGCATTAAATGAAAAGTTGGATGGAAACGTGTAGATGAGCGTACAGTGCTAATTACTTGAAAGGTTGGGATGTATGGTGTTAGTAAAATTTGAAAAGATTGGGACCAAATGTGCAATTCCCCCTTATATCAACTTAATTTTTCTATAAGCTAGATTTTTAAACTATGAGCTTGTTTGGTACATCTTAAAAGTCAATTCAAATTAATTTTTTAACCATTATTTTACTATTTCAGCCGTCATTTTTGAATTCTTCTCTCCCTACCAAACAAGCACTATTAATTAGTGTACGAAAATGTAACAATGTATGTTACACATCGGCTCAATCTCCTATAAAAGCCTTATCGCTATTTTATTTTAAGGTATGAAAAATATTTTGCAAACTTAGTGTTACTCTATCTAAAACTTTGCGCAATCTTTTGAGTTATTTCGGACATGATCTCTTGCTTCAATGATCGATCATCTATTTCGTAATTTTTCCTCTAAAACAAATTTCCGAAGTTTATTAGAAAACTAAAATAACAATTTTTTCAATGTCAACAATATTTATACTAAAGAACGTCACAACTTCATAAGTTAGTCGTATACTTGATTACAATGTTGGTTCCATGTTATTTCAAGAACCCTACAAAGCAATAAATGTCCTTTTAACCTAAAAGAATATTATGGGAACAAATAATAATTAATTAAGATGGGAAGAAAAATTCTATCTAAAAGGTTAAACTGTGATTTGCCATTCGAAAAAATAAAAAATAAAAAAGAGGAGGAAAAACAGGAGGAAAAGGAAAATTGTCCGTTAAACTCAATGATATGCAATCAAAAGCATTTGGTGAGAATCTTTGGCTCCAAAAGAATGTACTTTTCCAAATATATTGGTTTCACTCATGTCTTCCATTCTCGCCTTTAGAAAAGCAAATAAAGCAACCAACACTATCCCAAATATGTTGCCCCAAGACTTTTTAGGGATATATACACCAATGCTATATATGTGTGTATGCATTTATGATGTATGCATGTACGTATGTATTTTTTTCTTAAAAATTTTGGGTTGGAGGTTTAAAAAATTTCCATAAAAAAGAGGTTCACGAATATTTAGATACATAAGATTCTTTATGATGGTTATTAATAAAGTATGACGATGGGTTGCTTCTGCACCTACAATCACTGTCATTTCTTGAGTGAATGGTTAGTCACGTCTCAAGATTTAAAGAAGTTGTATATTGCTTTCGGTAGCTTTTGTTTAATCAGAGCTTTATTGGTGTCAGGAAAACTCTTGCTTGGATTAGTGTCCTCGAGAGATATAGTTAGTAACCACACAGTCTTAATAAATCTTATAACGTCATGTCTTGTTTGCGTAAGCTATTCGCAACAACTCGTTTCACACAAATAATCAGTGAAAATAACTGTTGCTTATCATAGAAAATTAAGCTCCAAGTGCACAAATTAGGTGGACCAAGAAAACCTTTGGACTGCTTTTTTGTATTAATTAAAACAATAATTACACCAAGAATTTGTTCAATGTGCGTGTGTTTGTATTATTACATTAAAGAACAAAAATGGTCTGAAAGGTCGGTTTGTAGGGACAGAAGATGACATCCTTGAAAATGAAAGTGGTTGGTTGTTAGGAATGAGGTTGCCTTAAACTTTATGCATGTGACAAGTGATGCATGAAGATTTTCACAACTACTCGTTTGGTTGGACTTTTAAGTACTTATAAATTGTTACACTACAAATTATGTGAATAATGTCATTGTTTTTTCAAATAAAAATTTGATTTCAATATAAATTAAAATTAAAAATTAATTTTAACCATACATTTCATGGAATTCACAACTTTTCAACTATAAAATCCATTAACTTTTATCGAAATTTATTAAAAATTGATTTTATACAAATCAAAAAGGGACTAAGTGTAGTAAATTTTGAGTCTTATGAAATATATAGTAAAAAATATGTTTGACTATCTTGAATTATAATTTTAACTTTGCAAACATGTTCATAACTGTCAAAAAGGAAGGAAAAAAGAAAACTAAACTAATGTCTTACTTCTCGGCTCTAAACATTAATGCCTTGTTTGATAAAGTAATCTTTAAAGTGGGGTTGACAAAAAAATCCTTTATCTCAATACCCGCGGACTCCGTCCTGATTGGGATAGAGATTACCAGTCTAATCGGGTAAACAAGACAAGGGTCATTGCCTCGGAGTGGGTATGGCACAGATACGTGAAACATAATCTCCGTCCCGTTTAAAGTTAATATCAAATTTAATTTTTAATCAAATAAAAATAAAATATTTATCATCATTTTTAAAGAGACACAAGAGTTGTTTTTTTAAAAATTAAAAAAAATAACATTTATTAACTAAACACATAAAAAAATAAAAAAAAATAAATAGAAAACAAAAATAAATAAATAAACAGGGACGATAAATGGAGGCGGGGCAGCTCAGGTCCCCCGCCGCCCCCATATTGCTTTAACTGAATACGGGGACGAGGGAAAGTGAGAAAAAGTGTCCGACGAAATGGGAGGTGAGAGTGACCGATCCGGTCTATACCCACTAAGTTGCCCCCCCTACTTTAAAGTACTAAAAATTATAGAAGAAAAATCTATTTAAAAATCTTGTTCAATTCAGTCGAATACTACGTATCGAACTTACCATAATGGTGTTTGTCAAAAGTTCTTTAGGAAAAATTTATAGACTTCATCTTAAATATTTATAGTTCATAATATATTGTAATGAAAGATAATCTATCCAAATGCATTTAAATACCAAAGGTAATTATAGTTTGAATAAATTTATAGAGAAGTGTTTCGATGAGGTAAGTAGATTTCTAGAATTAGAATCAGAATCAGAATATTACAAAATTTGATTTCTTTAGACAAACTTTGATGCCTTGTAGAAATCATATTTCCAAAATTGTGTTTTTTCTAATAAAATAAAGAAATTGAAGGACAAAATACAGAACTTTTAAATCATGGGCTATAATGACAAGCTGTAAATGATTTTTAATCTGAGATAATTTTGAGGGAAATTTACAAAATCAATTTTCATAATATGTTTTGGTAACAAAAATCACATTTTGTAGAAAATTTTTGAGGCACTATCCATATGATTTAATTTTCGTGCACCTAACTTTTCATAATTTAATTTTCTATACATTCAAGTATGTTGACTACACTACTAACATGATATTTATAAAGTTATAACCTCAACTTAAAATAAATGAGAAATTCAATTTAAAAATGATATCATATATTATTTTACTAGCTTTTAAATTTTTATAAATTGTAGTACTTTAAAGAAAAGCTTGTAAAAATAACTTATTTAAAAAAAAGTGTAA